GTCGGTGTTCGGGAAGCTGTTCGGGGCTGGAGGGGGTAAGGCCGGCAAGGGCGGCCGACCCCCCAGGAGGCCATCCAGAGACTGCGGGACACAGAGGAGATGCTAAGTAAGAAGCAGGAATTCCTGGAGAAGAAGATCGAGCAGGAGCTGACGGCCGCCAAGAAGCACGGCACCAAAAACAAGCGCGGTGAGTCGGCCCGGCCCCCTCAGACTCCCCCTGGCCTGGCCGTCAGACTCGCCCCAGTGTTTACTCGGATCCTGGAACTCTTACCCCGTCAGACTCCCTTCTGTGCCTTTCCTGGTCGGGTCTGGGGACCCCTCCCCGCCTGACTCCCTTTAGCGTCTCCGCGAGCCTTGGACTCCTCCACCATCAGACTGTCATTCCAGCCCTCTCTCCCCTCAGGCTCCCCTCACTCTGCCAGGCCCCTTCAGACCCCGTTTTCACAGCACTTCCTCTACCTTCACTCTGTTCCTTTCTCTTCCGCCTTTTCCTCCTCCCTCTGGCCTGCCCTCACTCACCTTCCCATACGGCCATCGCCTCCTTGGCTGATTCCTGCCCTCCGTCCTAACACTTGTGCCCTTGCTAGTCCCACCTCGACTCTCTCCCGACCACTCTGTAGAGTCCATGAGCTGTCCGTGGCTTCTCCCCATCCCCCTAACTCAGAATTCTTGAGAAGCCGCCTCGATGGTGAGAAAAGGGCACTGGGAGAGAGGAGACCCCCCTGCATTTGGCTCTGTTTACTTGCTGAGTGAACTTGAGCAAGTTGCTTTTCCTCTTGAGCTTCGTTTTTCCCATCCATAAGCCGGGGTTTGGCCTTCATGAGGCCTAAAGTGCCTTCCAACACTATGATTCACTTCTTGTTGCCTCATAGCGAGGTCTTATCAGAGTTTCACGTAGCACAAGCCTTCACCCCGTGACTCACCGCTTCCCCATCCCTGTGTACCAGAAAGGATTCCATTCCTCGATTGGCTCTGACTCCTCCCCAGTTCCCACTACTGTGGTTCAGGGCGGGGATATTGAACTCTGAGGCACTTCTCTTCCTGTTATATGGCTTTCTGGGCAAGAGCTTTGTATTTTTCTTAAGTGAGGTGAATGTGAAAATGCTTTAATAACTGTAGAAAAACTTAGAAAATTTTGGGGTTTTTTTCTCGTTGTTATGACAATATGATAGTGAACCACAGAGTGAGGTTGGGTTTAGGAGCTGTACAAACAAGTATTTAACTCAGAAGTCTGCAAGTCACTAGCTATGTGACCTTGAGCTAGTGGATTTACCTCTGAAAGGAAGATCATGGATTTACAGTGCCCAGCACATAGTAGGGGTTAAATAGATGTTTTTGCCATTCTAACAGAGCAGAATAACTCATTCTGAGGATGCTTCTTTGCTAATAGTCAACAGATACTCTGGAAATTCTTTTGGGGGCTTATTGCACATGCTGTATTCACAGGGTGAATGAACAAAACACAGCTTCTACCCTAATGAGAGAGAAGACAGGAAAATAAATGAAAATAGTGTCTGGTGGTGAAGAGTGTCAAAAAAAAAATCTGAAGAAGAGTGCTGGGGTGGGAAGGGGTGCCACTTTAGGCAGAGTGGTCAGGGAAGTCCTCTTTAAAAAGGTCAAGTTTGAACCTTGAGACGTTACCAGCTCTGTAGAAATCTAAGGGAGAGGCCTTTCAGACAAACAGCATAGGAAAAGGCCCAGAGGGTGGCCTATTTTAAGAAACAGAAGACTTCTTTTTCTGGAATGTAGCAATTGAAGAGGGGAGTGATATAAAATAAGTGGGTGTGGAGTGGACCTTGAACTTTCTGGTAAAAAGTTTAGATTTTATTCCAAGTGGATGGAAAGCGGTTGGAGAGTGTTACGCATATTCTAATCATTGACATAATTTTAAAAACACCATTTGGCCACTCTTTGGAAAGTAGAACTGTGGAGGGTGAGAGGGAGACTGGTGAGGACAGTTGGAGTCATGCATTTTGTGGCCTGGACTCCTGGAAGTTGTAGCTCTGGAGATGGAGAGCAGGGTTAGATTTTGCTGTCTCTAGCTTTTTTCTTTGATGACTCTTCCTCAGTCAGGATCCTCTGTTGTTCACTGTAATTAGAGTCAGTGTTTTTACGCTGACCGCATTTGGGAATGCTCTGCCCATAGCAGGGTGGAGGAGGGCGTCAGTTTACATCATCTCCCATCTGAGAGGGCAAGTCTCCTGTGGTCTTTTGGTCTGGAGCTAGTTTCCTTTCTGCAGATTTAGAGGTGATTGAATTGGCTTTCAAGAGGCTTGGAGAGAGGCTGCCAGCAGACTGTGGAGCACCGACCAATCTGTTAGTTATAATAACTTTTTGGAAAGCAGTCTGTCTTCTTGAGGTTACCTGAGAGGACACGAGCTACTGCCCTTCTTTTTAGTGTCCTCTGGGGGAACAGTCTTATTTGCTTACAGGGCTAGTGCTATGAGGTGTTAACACTGCAGCATACCATTCATTTAGTCACTTATTGACTCGATACTGTGTTGGAACTTGGAGAATCAGAGATGAAAATACACTGTGCCTGCCCTCCAGGGACTCAGGATTGGAAGAGTGTGTGTGTGTGTGTTTTGAGTTAGTTTGTGTGAGAGAGAGAGAGAGAGAAAGAGAGAAGGGGAGGAGGAGGAGGAAGAGAGGGAGGGAGGGAAGGAAACATACCAGTCAGCGCTGAAACATGATTGTGTAAGCGGGGCTCAGGCTGCAGAGGAGAAGGTTCTTGTGTGGAGGGGAAAGGGCAAAGGCAACTTGGTGGAAGAGGGAGATGTGAAGTGGATCAGCAAGAAGTTTGGGGAGCTCCAAGTGAGAGCATCTCCTGGTAGGAGACTGTGGGGCAGGACAGCAGAAGGATAACACTGGGGTGTGACCTGTAGCCTTTAGACCTCGACCAGGAGGTGGTGAGGAGCCATTTTAAAGCGGAAGAGACAGATGAGCTTGGATTTTTGAAAGAGCACTGCAGCAGCAGCATAAAGGAAGGAGTGTCGACTGACCAGGAAGGGACTAGAGGCAGGGATCCAGTAAGGAATAAGGGTAGAATCTCATGGATTTGAGCTGTAGCTTTGTGTGTGTCTCAGGCAGGTTACTCTGTACGTCAGATTCCTCCCCTATAAATAGGGGTACTAGTATCTACCTT